GTGTGTGTGTAGGTGAATGTGTGTACAGGTGTGTGGCCCTGGCCTGTATGTATAAGTGTGTGTGTAGCTGTGTGTGTGGCCCTGGTCTGCCGTGAGAGATAAGCAGGAGGGAGAGAGCCCCGCCTCTCCTCTCTGGCCACCTCTCTCTTCCCGAAGGAGAGACTGGCAGCAGACTGGTGACACGCGAGTACCCCCACAAAAGACTGCCATCTGCAGCACAGGAGGAGAATGTAATTAAAAGGTTTGTTGGAAGCGATTGCCATGCTGCTTCCGCTGCGGCCGCAGGGCGAGGACAAGCCTGGGGACGGGCACGGCGCGCTGTCAGGATCCCCAGCGACATGCCACCAGCACAACGCACACGGTTCCCTGTCGCTTGCAGCGTTTTTCATTTCGCAAAGCCTGTCTGCCAGGCTTGCCATCTGGGACAGAGCGAATTATTATTAATAGTTATTCAATCGCTTGACGCCTTCAGCCCAAGTGGCCTGGAGCTAATGCAGTTGCATCATGTATGTATTAGTACTCAGTGGTCTGACAAACTGCAGAATCCAAACATAATGTAAATTTAAGCAGACAGGCAGTGCCAGCGAGCAGAACTTCACACATACTCGTTCACAGCTTCTCCCACACTGCGCTGTGGGGAGCTGAGGCCCACTGAGTAAGCCATAGTAACCACCAGTCCGATGCTGCTGGCTTTCACCTGCACTTGACCTTGTGTCCTTTGATTATTTTTCATCTTGTGGAAATCAGTGCTCCAGTCACTCCGTGACTAGTGGGCTGGAAAGGGAATATTTTCCAGACTGGGTGGAATGGGAACCACAGCCGCCTGTGGACCTGCGGTATCAGAAATGACTGCACAGGGGGAGTGAAACAAAGACGTGACCTTTCTATCCTGTATTGCTGTGTCTCACATCCTACAGTTTAATTGGAAGTAGGCTCTCCGAGAGCTGTCCTCCCATTAATTCTGTGACCCCAGTCTGCTGCTGAGCCCTTCCCACACATACACACACCTGAGAGCTTGACTCTGGCCTCAATGACACCCCACACTGTCACCCCAGCAGGGCTTCTGGACCCTTCTCCCCTCATTCCCTCCTCAGAACTGCAGGGTCTCTGTTTGTTCATCCCAGCTGGCTGGCCCTTGTATGACTTTCTCCCCTTCCTCGGCTTTCCAGTGTGACCTGATAGGGATGCGGAGTGAGAGGATACTTTCCATTCCTTCCTCTGAAGGCCTGGCTGGCGCACCTGCTGGTCCGTTATATTCGGAGTGTGTGACTGGCGAGCTCTCCCACGTGGCTGCGTGCCCATGCTGCCGAGCCCTCCACTGCTCCTTCTACTGTGGAACTGTCCTGTTCTGGCCTGGCGAGACGTGTTCACTTGTGTTCCAGTTAATCAAATAATTCGAGACCTTGTGTTCAAAGCCAGGGACTGAAGACTAGGACTCTACAAACTTGGTGCTGTATCTTGTGAGGAAGACCAGTGTGGGTTCACCTGCATCTCAAACGCTAGAGTTGAAATTCTGGAGAATTCCTAGCCGGACTGACCCCGATGTCTTTCCTTTACTTAAGAAAGCTCCTGCTGTATCTAGGACCTATGATAATCAGATCTGCAGAATAGCTGTAGAGTACAGTTCACCCAGAACGCAATCATTATCAGGTTTGCAGAAAGCTGTGTAGAAACTGTCTGGAAATTCACACACTGTCATGCTCAGACGTGATGATTAATGATGGAGGAAAGCGATGGTGAGAGTGTGTATGCCTTGCTCTCTGAATTCAAACTCCCTGCGTCCCGACCCCAGAGGCCCGCTGAGAGGAGAGCTGTGCAGCATGTGTGTGCCCCACTGCGGCCCTCCACCTTTAAACTAACCTTCAGGGCCCATCAGGAAGATTCTCAACTAATCACGATACAGGGATAAACCTGGGCTGGTGCAAGAGTCGACTCCACCATAACTAAACACATCTGAAGAGGAAACCAATTCAAGTCACGGAATTGTAGCTCCAGTCACAACAACATCAAGAGTGAGATGTGAATAGAGACAGTGAGACAGCGACAGTGGCCCCTGGCCACTGGAGGAGGAAACTCGAACCCCGTTCAGAGGGAGTGAAGCAGGGGCGCCTGCGAGGTGGAGACAGGGTGGAGGAGGGATGCTTGAGGCAAATGTGAAGGGAGGCATTTGTGTTTGATATAACAGAGCTAATTTCTGTAATGATGATGACGAGGAACGGCTGTGTGAGATTGACCCTTCATTGTTATCCCTCCCGAATTTCAGTTAACAACTTCCATCTCTATTTTCCACTGTCCATGGACACACTGTGCTTTTTTCAG